AATCAGTGATTCTGTTTAAGAATTCAAGGAGACGAAAAGAAGACGGCAGAAATTATTTTGGTGATTATAATTTGGTCAGCTGTGATGTAATTTGTTGTTATCGATATTTGCTTGGAGAATTAATTTTTAAACTCTGGCTACAAGACTAGATAGAAATACAAAAAATGGTTTGGATTTATGCTTATTTTGTTGCTTGTAAGTATTTTTTGCCATAGATGATGTCTGTCTAGAAATATATTTTCTCATTTAGTATTAACTAAAAGATAGCCTACCAAGAAGAATGGTTAAATTAGTTTCCTTGAACATATTTCACTTCAGAACTCATATAACTATTCCAGAACTCACCCTATTTTCTGGTGCTCCTGCTATTTATCTCAAAGTTCTTGACAAAATCCAAGAAAAGGATTTATAATGTAATAAATCCTGATTAGGCATCATGACTTCAGTCACATTTTTACCAACGAAACGTGGCCTCCCTCTGTCTTTTCTATAAATATTTTCATGGTAACTGCTTTGACAAGACTTTTTCCTTGTTGCCCTAACTACTTGAATTTAAGCATCCTACTAGATTGGCATTTAGGACTCACCAGTTTACTGTAGAAATAGTTAAATGTAAACACGACTTCTACTCCAACAGTTTCTTTTCTCGCACTTCCCACCTGTGGAACTCATTTCTGTTTATTTGCTTCCCTGATAAATACAGTCTTCAAAAATTTAAATGCAATGTCAATCACCATTTTCTCTCTTCTTGAATCCCATTCATCTTTTGTCCTTTCCTCACTCCTCCCTATACTCAGTCTTTTCACTCACTTTCAGTCCCTCTAACACCCTGTGTATTAATGTTATTTTCGCTTTGCTTGCAGTGAAATAATGAAAAAAATTAAATGAATAAATAAAATGTTTCTGTGATCACCATCAGTTGCTTTGTTGCACCCTGCTCAGTTATAAAAAGTTGTATCAGTAGACTTTCTTGAAATCAACCAGAAATGGTCATGCCACAATCCACATTGGTGATCAAAAACGACAAAGTTATGATCTTTTCAGATTTCAACATCCAAACAGACTGGGTCTATAAATCCATAAAACTAGACATCACCATCACTGAAAAAAAAGAAAGAAAAGAAAATAATATAGGATGCTTAAGCCCTAAATCTAATCCTAATCCATCTCTGTGCTTGTAAATGTACAGCATAAAATCAAGGATAAGATTCAATAAACTAGAGCTTTCCTCCTTGTCTTAGTCCAGATGAAATACTTAAGATTTTGTTGAACAATGAAGTTTCTCTACAATGAATTCAATGGTTTCAGAACATAGAAGGTGATTTCTAATAGATGATAAGATGATGTTTCTATTGATTTGGTCATATGTTGCTGTGAGGTCAGCATATACGGTATATAGTTTCCTTTTAAATAAGTATGCAATTAACTGAAATTGTTTGATTATATAGGGTGTGATTGGTAAATTGTTACCATTTTATATTTTTAATTTCATGCATGCATATTGTTTATTTTTGATTTTGTCAACTGCACAGTATACTACGGTCAGTAGGGCACAGTCTGTGAGAAAAAGAGCACCATGACCGAATTCTTTCTGCCAGAAATATGGAAATGGTATGCTGTACAGCTTGGCATTTATACCAGAAGCTCCAATACAAACAGTTCAGTGTTTGGGTGTCAATCTGAGGACAGTGCAGAGGATTTGGAAAGAGTTGGATGAGTGTAATGGTGATTACAAAGGTGTTTGGAGGGATCAATAGTGATGCCAACATTATACCTCCATTCATCTTCTCTCAGACTCAACATGGATGCCTATGTCAGACTGTACTCTGGGTCAAGAGAGTGGCTGCTGGAAGACCCTATGTCTGGCAACAGGACTCTGCACCATGTGACACAAGCAGGAGAATCAAGTCCTGGCTATCTGACAATTTCTACGACTGCATCACCCCTTATATCTGTCTGCCTAACTCCCTAGACTGCAACCCCCGTTATTATTATGTGTGAGATGCAGTTGAGCAAGAGACCAACAAAACTTCTTGTAACACTGATGATGAACTTAAGGCAAGGATTATGGCAACATTCCCCAACTTAAACAAGGAGGCCATCCAGAAGTGTTGCAGGAGATTAGAATGGTTTTTATATATTTGCTTTTTATTTATATATAGTTTCTTTTTATTACTCGAGGTAATTTTGATATAATTTAGAAGAGTGTTTTGGATTGTTATATTATTAATCTTTTCCAGTTATTCATGAATCAGATGGTATAGCATGTCTACTAAATCAAATGATATTGTTCTGTTTTCATGTTTTCTCTTGACGTGAATCAAATCCCCAGCCTTCTCTTCCCCAAAACACTGACACACCATTACAGACCCCACTACAAGGCTAAACTGTTTGAACCACATCATTCAGTCTTTCTTCTGGATTTTTTCTCTCATACATTCTCACGACCAAAAAGTTTGAATTTTGACTTGACTCTCCACAATACATTTTGCAACATTTTCAATACATTTGCCTATAACAGGAGCTTCTTTCCCAACCTCTTATTTGAAATAATGTGAAATGTCAACATCAATACATAAATAGTAAAGTCAAAACAAAACACATATGACCTGAAGATTTTATTTAAGTGTGAAACAGACTGAAATTGTCTGGAGGCTGTAGCTGAAGCCAATAGTGATTTTATTCAATAAATTTAGTCTTTCATATTTCAAAATATTTTTGTGTAATTTTGGTAAATATATCTGTTAAAATGAGATATCAGTGTCATTTTCATTTTTGCTTAATTTAGACGACAATTTATTAATCACACCCTTTATAGATCTTTAATTTTTTTTTATGTTTATGGTAATATTAGCCATTTCCCTACAAATAAATATTTGGCATTCATTGACTGAAGAACCAGTACTGCTTTCAGTTGAAATTTATAAAATCTTTCTAAAAAAATTTTCAAGACAGTACATTTTTCAAATTCAGTAGCTTTTATCACTCTTTCCAGTATTGATAGGAGCTTCTTTCCCAACCTCTTATTTGAAATAGTGTGAAATGTCAACATCTTGATTATATCATTATTTTGTTTTTGAGTGCTATTTATTTTAGTTGTTGCTGGTATTGGTAGTCCTCAAGTGATGTGGTTTCTGTTATTTCATACAGTTCTTTGTTTCTGATTTGGCAGCACCAGTTGACAATGTTCAAAGAAGGATAATCTTTACCAAAACCCTCAAGCTTCATTTGCATAGAGATCTTAGAATGCGGTTGTATACAACTGACAGTTTAGATATTTCTGAACCGGTTTGGCACCATGCATGGCATCCATATGAATGTCAGGTTGATATTTTGGCTTTATGGTAATTTGCAGTATTGAACAAAACTACCTCTGGTCCTATGTTCAATTTTATTTTCACCTCTACTTGTTTCTGACTGACTTTTTAACAAATATTGCACCTCGTTCTAGAAATCTTCAACTTCTCAGTTTGTCTTTGAGATTAGCCTTCTTTGAATAAAACTTCAGTTTGTGTCCTCATCTCAATGGTTAATACTTTGATTGTGCCATTTTGTGCAAATTACTTCAAAATTAAAAAAATATATATAAAATCTATGAAAATATTATCGTAATGGCACAATCTTTATTTTCTTCAGAGATACCTACATACTGGTCTTTTTCACAAATTACAAGATTCTGGTATATCTGGACAAATTTTTTATCAAATTATGAAAGTTATCTTGAATGGCCACTCTTCTAGATCTTTTTTTGCATTAATGCACATGTCACCCAGGACTCTATCCTTAGGCCTAAATTGTTCTTAATGTTCATCATTGACCTTTCTGATTTCACCAATTCCCAGTTTGGTATCTATACTGATGACAAGTATTTACACTTGTCTTAACATGAAGTCTAGTAAGTTCAATTTGATCATATTCATAGTTAATTTAAAAAAATTAATTAATTTTCTGTTGTTAAATGGGACAAGGAATGGCTTGCTAATTTTAACACCTCCTAAATGAAACTGCTCTCTTTTAATCATCTGAGAGAACACTCCTGTCTTCCCTCAACATGGCTGATGTTAATCTCTAGGAGAATTATTCAGCTTCTTGGTCTTATGTTCTTTGCTGACATGAAGGGTAAAGATTATATTGAATCTGTTCGAGGTCTCCTGCCAGGAAAGTTAGTTCACTCTGTTGGTCTAGATAATTTTTATTGCATGAATCTGTCCTACATATTTGTAAATCTACCATTCACCTATGCTTTGAATATTGTTGTCACATATGGTCTGGTGTTCCTGCTATATATTTAGAGTTACTTCATAAAAATCCAAAGAAGAATCTGCATTGTTACTGGCCCTAAACTGGCATCTCAGTTTCAATCACTTTCCCTCCTCCATGATGTAACTTTTTCTATAAATACTTTCTTGGTAACTGTTCCGATGAAATTAAGCACATCACTAGATTGACAGAGAGGTCTCCAGGTTACAGTTGAAATGGCTAGATGTAACTGTAAGTTCTATGCTAACAGTTTCTTCTCTTACACTTGAAAAATACTCTTTTGGCTTTTTGCTTTCAAGTCAAGTTTGATCTTTAAAAATTTAAATGCAATGTCGGTCGTTATCTTTTGTCTTTTTATTTCCTTTTCTTTTTTTTTTGCTCCATAACAATGTGTTTCTTCTTCTCATATTCTTTCACACTCAGTAATCCCCCCCCCCTTCTTAGTGCATTTATTACCTTCCTTGGGGTGAAATGATTTTAAAAATGTCATATATATATATATATATATATATATATATGTGTGCATGTGTTTATATGTGGGCTTTTGATTTTATTCATATCTATATATGTTCTTGGAAATGTAACTCTATTGATGATAAATTAGACCACTGGAAAATGCCAATAATAACTTCTGTATTAAAGAGGTAAACCAGCATCAACTTAATTATGAAGGCACAGTTATTGGTATTGGCTTACATTCAAGGCATTAGGGCCACCGGTGTCAGATCAGCTATCCTACCATGTTAAAGAAATGCTACAGATGGGGGGCTGGTTTGTCTAAAACTTGGCAGTTGCCTATAGGTTAGAGGTAGGTCAAAATCTTGGAAATTTTACTTTAAATTTAGAGATCCAATTTGTTTTATTAGTTAGTATTTGTTCTGACATTTCTTTTCATCTCAAGTTGCACCAATACGTAAAGAAGGCTTCCTTCATTCATATGCATTGCCAAACCAATTCATTTTCAGTAGACATTGTGGATCTATTATTCAATTCTGCCAACAAGGTTTGGGCATGATTTTATTACTGAAATAAGGAAATGCAGAATGATATAGAAATTTTCATTTTATCAAAGAATTCAATACAAGTTAATTTTCCAAGAATAATGAAGAAAAGCATCTTTGGCAAATTATTTGTTTATTTACAATATCTATGTTTCTGTCTGTTCAAATGTTTCTCAAAGTTTTCATATCTATCTCATTCTAAAATATATATATATATATATATATATATATATATATATATATATATATAAGCCTGTTCATATCTATCTATCTAATTATCTATCTAAGTGTGTTCATATCTATCTAAAACTGTTCATATCTATCTATCTATCTATCTATCTATCTATCTATCTATCTATCTATCTATCTGTCTAAGCCTGATCATATCTATCTATATATCTCAGTATCTCAATATGTCTTTATATATTTGTCTGTCACAATCTGTTTGTATATATATATATTAAGCAAGCACCTCACTCTGTTTCTATCTATCTATCTATCTATCTATCTATCTATCTATCTATCTATCTATCTATTCTCAGTCTATTTATATCTATCTACTTACATTGTTACCATTTTATATTTTTTATTTTGTTGACTTCACAGTATAGTAGGGTCAGTTGAGGATTATCTGTAAGGAAAAGAGCACCATGAAACAATTCACTCTGCCAGAAATCTGGAAATGGTATGCTGTGCTGCTTGGCATTCATGCCAGAAATTCCAGTATGAACATTTTAGAGTGTTAAATGCCAATCTGAGGATGGTGCAGAAGATTTGAAAAGAATTGGACGAATCTAATGATGAATACAAAGGTACAGCAGCTCAGAAAACTCACTCTGATTTTTCTGATAAGAAAAGAACTCCTGAATCTGTTGATGAGGGCCTTGAACTCAACATGGGGGTCTACATCAAGTGCCTTGAGGAGTTAGTTCTGCTCTGGGTCAAGAGGGAGGCTGCAGGAAGACCCTATGTCTGGCAATAGAATTTTGCACCATGCCACACAAGCAGGAGAACCCAAACCTGGCTGTCAGATAATTTCTGCAACTGCACCACCCCATATATCTGGCCACTAAATTCCCCAAACTTGCAACCCCCTTGGTTATTATGTGTGGGGCACAGTTGAGCAAGAGACAAACAAAACTCCTTGTAACACCAAGGATGAACTGAAGGCAAGGATTAAGGCGGCATTCGTCAACTTAAACAAAGAGATCACCCAGAAGAGATGCAAGAGATTCTGAAGTTCTCTGGAGGTTGTGGATGAAGCCAATGGCATTTTTATTAAATAGATTTAGTATTTCAAGATATTTTTGTGTAATTTTGGTAAATATATCTGTTAAAATGAGATATCAGTGTTATTTCCATTTCTGTGTAATTTAGACAACAATTTATTCATTGCACCCCATATATATTTTTGTATCTTTCTCAAACTTTTCCTATCTATTTATCTATCTTATTCTAATCTATCTATCTATCTATCTATCTATCTATCTATCTATCTATCTATCTATCTCAGTATATTAATATGTGTATTTATATATTTGTCACAATTATTCTAATCTATCTATCTATCTATCTATCTATCTATCTCAGTATATTAATATGTATTTATATATTTGTCACAATTATTCTAATATCTATCTATCTATCTATCTATCTATCTATCTATCTATCTATCTATCTATCTATCTCAGTATATTAATATGTATTTATATATTTGTCACAATTATTCTAATCTATCTATCTATCTATCTATCTATCTATCTATCTATCTCAGTTTGTATATATATACCTGTTTGTATATATATATATATATATGTGTGTGTGTGTGTGTGTGTGTGTGTGTGTGTGTGTGTATAAATAAAAGGAAAGAACAGTAAGATATATAATCCGGTGTTCTTAGAGATATTTTTATTTTTACAAAATAGTGCTGAATGTAAATTTACAGAGCATTAATATTATAAATTAACTGATTTAAAATATGTTTTTTTCACTACACACTTCTAACCATGTTTCAAAAATGGAAGCTAAAAGCTTCAAATTTAATTTTGTAATTAAATTAAAGACATTAGGTCCATTTCATCCTCAAGTGAATTTTGGAGTAAATTATTTTTAAATTTACTGGGTTTTAATTGCACGGCAAAAAATCATAATTTACAGTTTCCAAGGATACAGAGAAATCCATTCATCCAGACAAGGGGTGGTTGCGTGTTCATTTTCATTAACTTTTGTTGTATCATTT